TCTCTCTCTCCTCTCTCTCTCTCTCTCTCTCTGGAGGCTTCCTGCCTTCGGGATGTTAGACTGCTGAACCCATCCTCCCCTGCCAGGGGAGCGTAGTCTAGGCACACCTGGACATGTGCCAAGCCAGGGCTGATGGGCACCTGCTGCCACAAACTGGCTTCCTTTTCCTCCAAGCCTTTTGTCTTGGAAGGTCGGCGGCTGTGCCCGCAACCTTTCTGGGCCCGTCCAGATGACCTCCCTCCCCCCCTCCTCCCCCCCCATTCCTAACTCTCTTCCTTGGAAGCCTTGCCCCACCTAGGCTAGCCAGCCTCGTTGCCCACGAAGGGCCCCCCTCCCCCCCAGGTACCTCCTTCGTCTCATCTCCCCACCTGTCCAGAGATTTTCCTCTTGCAACAACACCCCCCCCGATAAAAACGCCTTCCGCTATCAGGAGGGCTTTCCTTCCGGCCCCCTAACCCCCCGCCCCCGCCCCCCAAATTCTTTCTGGATTCCTGGGGAACCGTGGGGTGAAGCGGAGGCAGAAGGAGGTGGGGTGGGTGGGAGGGTCAGCATTGACCCTTTCCTGGGCTTGTCCCTTTTTCCGACTTGACCCACGGAGCGGCCATAGGGATGGCGCTTGGCAAGAGCCCCAGGACGGGTCTTCCATCTCCTAGGGGGCATAGGGGTCTGGCTGACCCCCAGGAAAAGGAGGAGGGCACCCTGAGCGGTTGCTTCCCGTCACCCCCAAAATCGGGCTCCCCTTGGAAGAATCTATGGGGCAGGTACGGACAGGAATGATTGGACGAGGCCAGCGCCGGCGTTCTCGCTTTGCTCCCCAGCAATCTCCTTTCCCACCCCGGCTTCTCTACCGGTAGTCCTCGACTTACAACAACAGAATCCGTGTTACTAAGCAAGGTGCTTAACTAAGTTGCATCTCATTTTACGACTGTTTTTGGCCATTAAGCCAATCACAGCAGCAGCAGCAGCTCAGCCAATCTGGCTTCCCCCCAAACGAAACCAACCAAATGTTTCTTTAAAAAGTTACGATATTTACGCAGTTGCTTACCTATTAAAGGGACCAAAAAATATTTTTTGTGATCCCCAAGAACGCTGCAACTTTTGAGTACGCCTAACGCTGCAAAATGTAACATGCCCGAAAACAAGTGGGAAACTGTCTGGGACGGTCACTCGGGGCGATGATATGACCGTTGGCCAGGACACTAACAACGGTCATAAGTTGTTAGTAAGATGCCAGTTTGCCAAGCCCTTAAATTTTGGTCAGGCGACCACGGGGGGGGGGGGGGGGGGGGGGGGGGGGGGGGGGGGGGGATGCTGGAACAGTCGTAAGTCAATTTTTGAGTGTTGTAACTTCCATCGGTCGCTAAACGGATGATTGCAAGTCAAGGACTACCTATAAGGGAGATGTTTTCTCAGCTAGAAGCCCCTGACATCTCTGTCTGGTGGGGCCCCAGACCCCGGGCCTCTTCTGCCCAGTGGTGGGATTCTACCAGTTTCCCTACCGGTTCGGTGATGGCGCACCTAACGCATGCACACGTGCAGCTTTCAACGCACCAGCTGTGACTCTGCTGTGCCCATCAGCGGAGGGGATAAAGAACAGAAAAGCCCAGGGGGAGTTGGGAGGGCCGATCCTGCCCTTTTCTTTCTCTTCTCAGCTGATCGTCGGAGCTTTTTTTTTTTTTTACAACTGGTTCGATTGAACCGGGCCGAACCGGTAGCATTTCACCACCGCTTCTTCCTATGTAGACTGTTCTGACCCAGGCTTTGTCAAATGGAATTAAGGTCAAGGTTGTTTACAAGCAAAACCTATTTTATTGCCCCAACACTGGGAATTACTTTCATTCCCAGCCAGAACTAATGATAAACAGTTCCCCAAGATAAGCACACGCCTTTCACTGCTGTGAAGTGCTGCCAAAAACAGAAGTATCCAATTAATTATAACAGAACCCAACCGAAGTACCAGGAAAAAAAAACCTAGAATACACAAGAGATTCAAGGAGGACTCGGAATCTATCAAACTACTTTGCTTCCTGCAAAGGTTTCGTCATTGAGGGCTGACTTTTATCCCTTATGGGAGGGGCAATCACCTCTCAGCCTTACTCCTGAGTGGGCCCCTTTTGTTTCAGCTGCTCTCACCTTCTAGCAGCTCTGCACGTACGCGCACTGAGAACAGGCTCCCCTGGGTCCTCTGCCCTGCTGCTGCCAGACTCTGA